ACCATGTTTCCTCCTTGGGCTGGGAAAACACCCGCGGGGGGAGGGGCGCTGCGGGGCCTGGGCCCCGCTGCAAACTTTTCTCCCCCTCGTCGTCGTCCTCCTCCTCCCCCTGCTGCCGCCGCTGCTCCCCCTCCCCTGCTGCCCTCCCGGGGCCGGGCTGGGGGGTTGCTTTCTGCCTCCCTTCCTTGGTTTTTTTAAAAGCCATTTTCTTTCTTTCTTTCTTTATTTATTTTTCTCCTCCCTTTGCAAGGCGGCTGGTGGCTGGGCGCGGGGAGTTGGCTGGCCCCAGGTTCTGGGCAAGGCCATCTTGTGTGTGCGAGTGTGGGTTTGTGGGCCCCCCCCCCACACACACGTAGGGGAGGATTTCACCCCCCCCTCCTTAACACACACACTAATTCCCCCCCCCCCTTAAATAATAAAGTTTGCTGCTGGTGAGACTGCACTGGCTGTGGCTGCCGGGGACTGATGGTGAGGAGGGCATAGGGGTCCCACTGGCTTGGGAGCAGAGCCATACTGGTGCTGTGCCCCTGCCCCTCACCCTTCCTACCCCCCAGGGGTGCTGGTGCCCAGGGAGGAGGATTGACAGTAGCAAGGGGGCAGCGCTGTGCTGCTCCCGCTGCTGCTGGCAGGAGGGGCGGCTGCTGCTCTGGGCTTCTTGGGAGGGCTCAGCTAAAGTGGGGGTCTCCTTCCTACCACCCCCCCCCCCCGCAGGGCAGTCAGATGGGTGCGGGAGGGGAGGGGAAAGGCTTAGTGCTGGCGTCTCTGCTGTGTGCCCTCAGGAGTCCCATGTGCAGGCAAAAGTGTGGGGCCTCGTCAGCTCCTTGGCGTCCCGGCAGGGCTGTGCTGGCTGGGGGCAGCTGCTGCTGCTGTGGAGATGGGGGGAGCTTTTGGGGGCACCCCAAGCAGGAGACTTCAGCAAGCCAGTGCCAGGGGCAACTGGGTTGCAGCGCCTGATCGCTGGCTGCTGGCTTCTTTTCTTGTGTATGCGTGTGTGACCGGTAGGTGTGAGGAAGAGAAGTTTGCAGGAACATGGCTCGTACCAAGCAAACTGCCCGTAAATCCACCGGCGGGAAGGCACCCAGGAAGCAGCTCGCTACAAAAGCAGCTCGCAAGAGCGCGCCCTCTACTGGCGGGGTCAAGAAACCTCATCGCTACAGGTACAGCAATGGCTAGGGACAAAAGGCTGCCGATGCAATCTCCTCATAGTGTATCGGCAGCATCAGTCGGAGCCGGACTTTTTTTCTTTTTCTTTTCTTTTGGGGGGCTTCCTTTCAAAATCCTCACTGGGATCATATTAGTCCAGCTTTTGCTATTCCCTCACCTGATTTTGAGTGACTTCTGGTGTTGGTTGCAAACCCATCATTGGCCCTACTGCCTCTATGTACCCACCCTGAGAGCCCGTGCATTTTAGGGGGTGGATAATTAATTTTGAAATTCAATTTTTATGCTTTTGACATAATTTAAGCACAGATTAATTGGCATCCAGCCATACCTGCGGCTTGGGGACTGGGCTTTTAATTAATTTCAATATTATACTTGAATGGAACCCTTCCAAACTTGAATGTGTAGAACTGATTTTGTTGTTTTTTTTTTTTAAAATTTACTTCAACTGGTCCAATTCTGGCCTCGGCGCGTATTTTGCTGTTTTAATGAGCTGAGGGTGTAGTTAGATCAATCTGCCGTTAGAGGGCAGGAGATGTCTATGCATAAGCAGGCCTGGAACTACAAATAATTTTACTTGGTTAAGGTAAAATAAAAGACCTGTGTGGAGGAGAGAATAGGTGAGAATTAGAGGCAAATCTCTCGCTGACTGTTGTCTAGGAGTAAACTCTTAATTGTGCAAGAGTCCTTCTGGGTGGAAGTGTTTTAATCTATGATTGTTCATCTCTATGCACGATTGCTCAGTATCAAAAATCCCTCTTGGGAGCAGCAAGACCTTTGGAAAAAATAAACTTATTTATGTCATAGAACTGTAGGACAATGAGTGTTGGAAGGGACCTCAGGAGGTCATCTAATTCAACCCCCTGCTCAAAGCAGAACCGTCCCCAACTATCACCCCAGCCAAGGCTTTGTCTACCCAAGCCTTAGATGATATAGTTGGGGATGGTCCTGCTCTGAGGACCATTTTTTAAATGCTACAAGGACAAACCCAGTTTGCCACAGCACTTCTGGCTCCAAGGTAGTTCTTTAGATAATGTGGATGCGACTAAAAGATACAGACTTCAGCACGTGGCTCACAGAGGCTTTTCCAAATGTTCATAATGACATATTTGCAGTACTGATGCTGAGGATACATTGTGTTTGCAAAAAAAAAATGCCAGTAATGTTAGAAGTTTGGTTTGAAGACGCACAGCACTAGCTTAAAAAAAACAAACTTTTAAGTTCTTGGGATAAAACTATGGCAGCTGCTATATTTTTTCACTGTTAGTTTTATGGTTCTATGTTGGCCGTGTCTTAAGGGGAGAGGGTATATTTTTAATTTTTAAGGGTATATTAGCCAGTGACACACAACCCTAGGGGGAAGTTATGGTATGACTGGACCAGGTGATTTTGTTACATTACAGCATGCCTTGTCTACACTAAGACTTTAACACACGTCAGCTAACATGTGTTAATTAACATGTTATGCACCTTTTTCCTAGTGAAGACAAGGCTTTTGAGGGCCCACTCTTGCCATTTTTCTACATGTGGGATGCCTGAGTGCAGTAGAAGTTCCGAACAGATCAGTGGTGAGGTCAGGCCCTTTATTTGTAAGTGAAGTTGCATATTCTAAATATTAGGATGCTTCTAGCCAAAACGGAGCGGTTCCTACTTGAGTTAAGAATATTGAATAACTCAGCTATAGAATTATAGAAAGTGAGGGTTGGAAGGAACCCCAGGAGGTCATCTAGTTCAACCCCCTGCTCAAAGCAGGACCATCCCCAACTAAATCATCCCAGCCAAGGCTTTGTCTAGCTGGATCTTAAAAACCTCCAAGGATGGAGACTCCACAACCTCCCTGGGTAACCTGTTCCAGTGCTTTACTACTCTCCTAGTGAGAGAGTTTTTCCTAATGTCTAACCTAAACTTCCCTTTGCTGCAACTTGAGACCATTGCTCCTTGTTCTATTACCTGCCACTACTAAGAACAGTTTATCTTCATCTTCTTTGTGACCACCCTTCAGGTAGTTGTAGGCTGCTATTAAATCCCCACCCTCCAGCTTCCCTCCTCTTAGACTATATAAGCCCAGTCTTCCCTCAGCCTCTCCTCAGAAGTCACGTCCCCTAGCCCCTAACCATTTTCATTGCCCTCCACTGGACTGTGTCCAATTTGTCCACATCTTTTCTGTAGTGGGGGACCCAAAATTGGACCCAGTACTCTAGATGTGGCCTCACCAGTACCGAATAGAGGGGAAGAATTGCTTCGCTTGATCTGTTGAAGTGCGATACTTGTACATATTCATTGCTTGTCTTTCTCTTAATTAAAGGCCGGGTACTGTAGCTCTCCGTGAAATCAGACGTTATCAAAAGTCTACTGAACTTTTGATCCGCAAACTTCCCTTCCAGCGTCTGGTGCGTGAAATTGCTCAGGACTTCAAAACAGATCTGCGCTTCCAGAGCGCTGCTATTGGTGCTTTGCAGGTAAGAGTTAAAAGAAGGCCATTTTCTTAGGCCTGATTTAAAGGAATCTCTCATGTGTAGAGGAGCTTGTCTAGCTGAAGGCGGTTGTTACTCAGACTTAACTTGTATGCCTCTGTGTTTTTATGTTAGGAAGTGGCTACTTGATGTCCCTTTTTGCTAGTTACAACTCTTCAGAATTAGGATGCTGCTTTAAGCAAAATGAGTTATCTGATCTTTCCCATGCAAATAACCAAAGAATCATCAGGGACTAAGGGACCATCCCTAGTATACCTATGATTTCTTTGTTTGTTTGTTTGTTTATTTTTAGCGATTCATTTCTGTAGAGACCCTTGAATGCTAGAATTGAGCTGTAAGCGAAATGTTTACTCTCATTTTAAATGCTGGAGAAGAGCTTTACAAAGGAAAGAACAAATCAGAAACAGGATGGTACTGTTGAGATATTACTATAAATAAACATACAACTTAATTTCTAACTTTTCTATAGGATATCTTTTTTAGTCTTGGGATAAACCATAGATAACATAGGAACTGTAAAGAATATTTTTCTTAGTACAGTCACAGATAGTGGCATGCTGTTCTTTGTTAGTGTGTGAGAGAGAACGTGATAGGTCAGTTGCGTATACTCATGCAATTGGCCAGGCTGTTTCTATGGTTAGTTAAAATTTCACTTGATTGGTGGACTCCAGAAGTAGGCATACATGAATTCTAGGTGAGTTGATACTGCCTGTGTTCTACTTGCCCAGAGCAATTAATGTCATATCATGAAATTAATCTGTAATTAGGATAAAATAATCCACTCAGTGATATGGCAACAACTCCTTAAAAATGCCATGAATGCTTTCTTAAAGATCTCTCAGAAATCTTTTTCACTTGTGTTGTATTTGTATTTAGTAGAGCTTTAAGATAAAGCTGTTGTTTCTTCACTCCTGCTTAAACTTTATTGGACTTAACATTTATGAAAGATGAGGAATTTGTGTGTGGAATATTGGTATATTTGTATGCATGCACAAGCAAAGTTTGTTCTGTGTGGTGTTTTCCCTCAAGACCTTTGCTTAAAGGAAACCTCCAGTTCTGATACAAAATTTCTGATAACGCGTTTAGGAAATGAGGGCGTGTGTGTAATGCAGTGGTTGTAACAGTATGATTGCAGGTCTGTTAGTGTTTGAGTTGTGCTGTATGCAGAGTACGTTCCTGTGTAGTACTGGTGGCTTCTTATTGATTCTGCTTTTTAATTTTTTAGAGTAACTTAAATACTGCTTTTTTTCTTAATCATATCACATTTAGTCAAGAAAACGACATAGATAAAATGATTGCAACTTAGCAACTTTATCCAGTTGTGACTACTATATTCAATCCTGCGATCCTGTCCACTTGTCATTTTGAAAAATGCGCTACTTTTCTGACTAGAGATCAGTTAAGTAGAATTTCTCATGATAAACATTTTCAGGATCAAACATGTTTGGGTGGGTGGTGTTGTTTGTCTTTAAACCCAGAATATGGTATTAGAGGGGACTGTCTGAGGCAACTGCATTATGCATTCTCTCTCAAAATGATATAGCTTCATCTTAAGTATTTAGGAGTGGAGGACACCAAAACCTACCAAAAGGCTATTCCAGTACTTCATTGTTTTTGAAGGTTAGAAAACTCCTAATTTCCAGTCAAAACTTATTTGTGCCCAAAGTATAGCCACTTTTTTTTTCTTGTGCCAAATTGTCCTTTACTTCATTAATGTGTGTGTTTTTCTAAAGCAAAAATATATGGTAGGAGGTCCTGCAACTCCTTGGACATGTACTTAACTCTTAATGACTGATTTCAGTGGAAGTACACATAATTTTAAAGTTGAGCATCTATACATTTTCCCCAGCTCATAGCCTTTAGCTTTTTAAGTCCTCTAACTAGCATTCTCAATCAGTGATAGTAAGTGGGAGAGCTTTTGAGGTCTGTGGCTTATCTGTCTGAATCTTTTTACCTTGAATGAATTGATTTCAATAGTAACTGAAGATAGCTAATATCTGCAAAGACTAATTTGGACAGACTTCCCATGTTCATGCTAGGGGCAGATTGCTGGTAATCTTTACCAGTAAAAGTATTCATTAATGTGTATATAGCTAAACTGGCCGAGTTGTACTTACCAGTACAGTAAAGCCACCCCCCACAAATTGATTGGGGGGTGGGGGCGGGAAGGGTGGAAACTATGCTGATAAAAGAGCAGTGTTGTCATTATAACTGCCTACACAAACATCTGTGTTGGTCAGGGGTCCTGCTTATTCATGCTGCTGGCTGACAGCTTTACCAGTAGAAATCTAGAGTGTAGACTTGTCTCAGTTTCAGGCTAGAAATTGTAGTCAGCCTAAGGGGTGTGTCTTGACAGCCAAAAGCTGTGACCTTCCCCTGGCATTTTCCCCAGTTTGACTCTTCCTAATTGGCTCAGTTCAGTTATTAGCCTGAATCAAAACAGGGCTTTCATGTTTCAATGCTGTGTGAAAATCTTGGTCCTCTTTTTTTCTCTTGGCCCTCAGATACCCTTTTTGCTACAGTTGTCTTGTCTGATCATTCCATTTACAAATGCTCTGCTTTAAAACAAGTTGACATTAAGTTTACAGAGTCTGGAAAAACCTTATGCAACTTACTAAGTTTGCTTAGCAGTTTCTATAGTTAGAAAGTTTTATGTACACACTTCCTGTAGTAGTAGGATGTAACCTGAAAATTATTTGTTATACCTAAATGATTGCTAACCTTAAGCAACATAAACTCTTGCCAATAAAACTGCTGCTGATTCTTGTATAATGATGGGATTTGCTGGGTCTTGTTTCTTTAAAGGGGAGAGAGATTCTGAGAGCATTTTAATAATCAAATATCACCTTTTTATCGATTCATATGGGTACTATCAGAATCTTTCTGTAATTCTCTTCAGAGGGCATTATCATTCAATAACAATAGCGTATCATTGGCTTAAACTTCATTACAGAAGTCTGCTAGCATTTCTTCGTCAGCTAGGGCTGTTTTGGTGAGCAGATATAGCCATACTAGTGAAACCCTGATGCGGATGCAGTTTTGGCAAAGCTGCTACTGTCCATGAGAGCTGGTGTAACTGATGACTGGAAAAACTCCTACCAGTATACACTGCACCAACACTAGGGGGCTCTGCTGCTGTAGGTAAGGTGGCAACAGCCCTGTAATGTAGGAAAGGCCTTTTATTTGTGCTCAGATACAGAAAATGTCATTTAAAATAAATGGACTATATGCTGGCAGTCTTTAGAGAGTTGGTTAGAGATTCTTCGACTCTTTAAAAAAAAAATACAAAACAGTAGGTACATAGACTAAAGATAAATGCTTACACTGATGTTATAGGCAGAAAAGATTCTTTGGGTAAATGTGATATTTTTTTATTAGATCAACTAAATACTTGGAAAAAATGTTCTTTACAAGCTTTCAAGAACAAACACCCTTCTTCAGGCATAGGGAAATTACACTGAGGTTACTGGGGTTCTGCTCTGGGCACTCTGGTGTCCTGTATGTAAAACCACTCCTAACTTTTTCTTGTTTTTTCTCCTTTACTAGGAGGCAAGTGAAGCCTACTTGGTTGGCCTGTTTGAAGATACCAACCTGTGTGCTATCCATGCCAAACGTGTCACAATCATGCCAAAAGATATCCAGCTAGCACGTCGCATACGTGGAGAGCGTGCTTAAACTCCACTATGATGGGCTTATCATTCTCAACACAAAAAAAAATCTCTTCTTCCTGTTTATTGGTAGTAATGAACCTTAGATATTTTTTCCATGGGGTTAAAAGGTACCTAAGTATATGGTTGCAAATGGAAAAATAGGGGACAGAATCGGGTATTGGCAAGTTCTGTTTTGTTTTGGGTTTTTTTTCCATTTTCATTTGTGTGTGGATTTTTAATATAAATGCGGGGACATAAAGCATTAATGCAGTCAAAAATGTTTCAGTGAACAAGTTTCAACAATTCAACTTTATAACAATTATAAATAAACCTGCAAATTTTTCTGGACAATGCCAGCATTTGGATTTTTTTAAACAAGTAAATTTCTTATTGATGGCAACTAAATGGTGTTTGTAGCATTTTTATCATACAGTAGATTCCATCCATTCACTATACTTTTCTAACTGAGTTGTCCTACATGCAAGTACATGTTTTTAATGTTGTCTGTCTTCTGTGCTGTTCCTGTAAGTTTGCTATTAAAATACATTAAACGACACTTGCTTTTAGTCTTCTTTTTTTTAACTTTTAAATTGGATCATATTTAATCTAAATGTTCAGAGAACAAGATTCTGGAGGATTCTTCATTCCTCTTCCCCCTCAGTATTACAGCTGAATGCTCCTAGTGCTGTTTAATATTAAATCTTTGTACTATATAACCCTTAATTATAAGTAAATCTTACATTACCTAAAATAGCTTCTGTTTTAATGCATCTTTAATATTGAATGTTAAGTAAAAACACTGAACCTTTGAGTATTTAAGGTACAAGCAATACTTCAGTAAGTATATCAAATGCATGAAGGGACTAGGGTGTGGAAATGGTATGTAAACTTTAAGTGCTAGAATATTTACCATGAGCGGGGAGGGGGTGAATCATCTGCTCTGTTACTAATTTGGTTTTTTACGTGTACCCCCAATACTTAATCTGAAGGAGGCCATGTTTGTTTTGAAGATGTTCTTTTTATTTAAGCCAAGTTTTGTGACTGGTATGTGAATCTAGTACATGTCATGCAGGAGTTATGAGCAGTTATACAGGTTTTCTTGATACACAATACAAGCAGTAATCAGATACCACAGTACTGGGCAGATACTACAGTACTTGAATTAGAATATTAATTTCCGATTTTCGAACTTATTTTGGCTATGTCTCCTCCTTTATGTTTTGTTCTCAGTGACCATCTTAGCGAATGACTAAGTGAATTACTCTTAGTGAATTACTGGCTGAAATGGTAAAGTTAAATTAGAATTAAATGGCAAAGCTTAAATCCACAATTGGAATTGTTGATTATTATCACCTGAAAATTGATTAAGGATTTTGATGATCCAAGTGAGAAACAAACAATACAACTCGTTTCTAATCAGCAGCTCCAACATCTTATGCACTAAGCTACAGTGCACGAATTACTACTGGATGAAATTCACAAAGCTACAGTGCACGAATTACTACTGGATGAAGCTCACCCCTGTGCAACCAGCCCATCCAAAGCATGGCTGCCACTTAGTGCCTCAAAATGAGACTTAAAAGCTCACATACATCCTCCAAGCTATTTAATTCAGGGGTGAATTCATTCTCTGTGGATTTCTTCAAACAACAGACTCATGATCTGTTGTGGCAGTTCCTGAACAGAGAGCACCTAAACTTACTGAATAAATCATGTTGTTCATAACTTGCCCAGCTGTAGTAATGAACGGTGTCTGCCAGGATTGTGCTGAATAAAGTATGTCTTAATGGAGTAACTTGTCAAGGAAAAGCAATGCAATACAACGTGTGGTCAGAGCAGATTTTTGGATGCTAAAGCAGTCTGCTTATGAGCAAAATGTCAATGAAAGTTTGTTTATGGTTTTAGAACACAGCAATAGAACCAGCTAGTGACTCTTCACTGAGTTTGCAAAAGGCACATGTATGAAGCTAACAGGCTTGAAAACTCAACTTGGTTAAATAATCCTAACTGTAATCTTCAATGCAGCCTGTTCTCAGATGTTAACTACGTGCTGTGTTCATAATTTTGTTTCACATATGCCAAGTGACAATGCTACAACCATGTAAACTGATGAAAGAGATTCTGTTTTTACTCTCCCTCAGGCAATCCTGTTGACTATTGACTTTTCCCCATATCTTTGAATTAAAGCATTGGTAGGGAAGGAAAGATGTGGATGATTTCTGCATGTTAGAAAAATAAGCCCCAAAGTCTGAGGGTGGGGAAGACACTGCTAGTACATTTTTTTTAAAGTGAGGATGGACAAGATACACAATCAGACCATAGGCTTCAGCTTTCTGTAAGCTAGGTCTATAATATCTAAATTTTTTTATCTAAAATGTAGGTGAACTGCAAATATTAAACTGACCGAGGCAAGGTGGTAATTCAGAAAAGATGTCTGGAGGGGAAACTTAAGAGGGGCTTCATAGTCATGCATTTGGTTAGCATCGAAATGCACATTGTTACTGTTCTGAGATCCTTGCTTATTTTCAAAGTGCTTGTTAGGACTTGGAGCCATAAAACGTTACAAGAATCATTTTACAATACCCACGGTGGATGCCTGTCTTTTAGGCATGGTGACTTGAGTATTCAAATTCTCTTTCCATCCTATGAAAGCCTGAGCTACCAGTGTTCTGCTCTTGTTAATAAGTGGCAGTGGACTTATGGTTATAAGTCTATCTGAATATTGCTAAATATCTCATTCCTATGCTCTTTAGTTGTTGCCTTTCCAGCATTTCATGCCTTATCAGCATTTACCATAAGAACTGCTAATTGGCTCTTACCAAGGCAGGAAGATAATTTAATTAATCCCCCTTCCCTCTGCCCCCACCTAGGTATAATGGACCAGTGTCAGCTTAATTTTTGCTAAAGAGCTACATAAGGGGGTAATGTTATGCAAGTAACAAGAAATGTGATGTTTCCTGGAGTTTGAGTGCAGTGGTGTGGCCATCAAGATAGACATTAGGGTTGTGCGAAACAGCACCATTCCACTTTGACTTGCATTTCGATGGAACAGCATTTCGTTTAGAATTTCATTTAGATTCAAAACCGCTGTTACGTTTTGTTTTGTCAACGCAGTTTCACTGTTTCAATGCTGTTTCGACGTTTCACCCATGGGCTATAATAGGGAAGCTCAAAACAGCCTATAACTTTGTCATTTATATCCTGATTTGGATGAAACTTGCAGGAATGGTAGCCCCCTCTGAGGGCATGAAGCCTGCCAAGTTTCAAGGAGATAAAGTACAGTTTCTCCAAAACCCCTGAACCTAAGCGGTGGACAAGCAAAACTTGTGACATAAGTGACACTGTGTGTGTGTGTGTGTGTGTGTGTTAAGGCGCAGCAGGGCGAAAGCTGCAGGCCTGCTAGCCCCTGCTGCGGACACGAAGCCCACTAGTTGTCAAGGAGATAGGTGCAGGGGGAGTCTGGGTTCTGGGGCCTTGCACCTCCAGCTGCTAACATGCAAAACAATGCTGCTTTTTATGCAGTTTTTTCTATCCCTCCTCCAGAGTACTGGGATTGGAAGGGCCCTCAGGGAAGGATGACAGTCACTGGTCAGCTACACAGTCACTAATGAGAGCAATCCTTTTTCCCTCCCTTCCCCCATCTTTCCCCTCCCTCTCACTTTAGTTTCTTTTCCCTGTAGGCAAGCCCAGCTTGAGCTTCGAAACGTTTTGACTTGCCTCATTTCATTTCGAGGCTGTTTCAAAGCTCTCTGTTTCGTTTCAGTTTCACTGTTTTGAGCTCAAAATGAAACTGCCAGCAAAATTTCACACAGCCCTAGTAGACATACTGAAGAGACTTTAGGACAGAGCTTTCCAAACTTTTCATGTTGGTGACACACTTTTTAGACATGCATCATTTCGCGACACAGTAATTCAGTTCCGGGGGAGGGGCCAAGGGAAGCAGACGCGAGTAAGGGAGCTTCGCGGTGCCCTTCTGCAAAATTTTCTGCATTTCGCGCGACACACCTACACACTGCCGCCGACACACTAATGTGTCACGGCACACAGTTTGGAAAGCTCTGCTTTAGGAGAAACTGAACTGGAGGCCCTTCTTGGCATAACTTGTATGAGACCTGAGGCCAGTGGCTCCCTTCCTGGATTTGGAATTCTTCTTGAGGGCAGGTTCAGTGCAGGACTGATGGAAGGAAAAAGTAATGAAAGTTGCTGGGGAAAAGCTGCTGCTTTAATTCACAGGTTTTTCCCCCCCTCATGCTGTACTATTGCTACACAGGGGCTTTTGATGAGGGTAGTGATGTGGGAGGAAGACTATACAGAGACAGTGTTTCTTCCTTGGTTGAGACAGTATATTAACGTACTCTCAGTCATGGAAGGGGTAGCATGAGCCTTCTAAACAGAGTTAAATGTGCTAAATTTTTAGATGCTGTCTGCTGTGTAGCTTCATCTGTGGTGGCTAGTGCTCTGCAATCTTTTTTCGAACTGTTTGAGCTGAGTGATGTGAGATCTATCAGTCTCCTTGTTCTTTCAAGGTGGGAATCTGATGGGGGGAGAGAGCAGTGCTTCTACTCCAGCTATTTGTAATGCTGTGTTAAAAATAACTCAAGAATTATATTTTCATCAGTGCAGTGCCCTCTCTTTACACATCAGTACACACTCATCGTGCTGCTTGGCTGGCATGAGCAGCAGCTGCCAGCAGGTCTGGTTGCCATGTGTGTATACAGCTTGGGCATCAACTACAATGAAAATCAGCCTGTAGATGGAAAAGGCTGCATGAAAATTTTAAAACTCTGTGTAGTTACAGACCAGTTAAAACGCGTTCAGTAGATGTTATGAAGAGACTTCTTAGCAGAAGAAAGTTGGCTGGAATTCTTTCTGTTGCTGACAGGTGAGGAAGTGAACGTGAGAAATAACTAGACAGGTTGATAATTGCAAAAATGTTTTATTGTCAGTTTTAAATTTCCTTCGCATAAAATCAATGAGCCATCCTTACTGGGAGCACAGAAGTCTCTGCTGCTTCAAATGTGAAGATGCTATTTGAAAAGTAATGCATTTGGAATGAACGCTTTTTTGCCCAAAAACATGTCTCTGAGATTGCTCTCTCAAATGGTGGTAGGTTTCTGTTTTAACATGGTTTTGAAAGGGAGTTTTGTGTGTGTATGTTGATTCTTGTAAACAGATATGTGAGGGGCTGGAGAAATGAATAACAGAAAATAGAATATGAATCTTTTGATGGATAGTGTAAAGATGTTCTCCAATAGGAACTAATTGTGATCATCATAAGATCAGCATAGGGCAAGTTTTTGTTCATTAATAATATGGTCTTAATCTGTGTTAACTTTCCCCCATTACCACTTTGGTAAAATTGGTTTGGTAGAGTGGAGCTTCTCTGCACTCATCTCAGAAACAGCCACATTGGGCAACCTGGTTAGTCGAGAAGCTCAGACCGAATGTGTATGAGGATTGACTAGTTCTTCTGTTTTCAGTGGGGTGGTCCCTGAGTGTCAGGGTTGAAGATCGTACGGCTTTCTCAGGCAAGACTGCCCTGCAGTTACTGTCTGTGAAGCATTTGTTTATGGGGA